TACAGAATTCCAAATTACACTCAAGACAAGGTGCTGTGTATCAAAATCCGACTTAAAACGAGGAAAGTTACGCAATTTCAAAGTTAAAGAACATAAATTAAATAGTTTTAAAATAGTGCAACTGGCTGTTTTAAAAAAAACTTGCAACAGATCCAAACAATATTTACGTAAGACTAGTTCCAGAATGTGCAGAATCAAATACGTTCAAATCAAGGTGCTGTTGCGTCAACAACGGATTTAAAAACGAAGGAAGTTATGCTTTCGTAAGTTAAAGGACTTAAAAGATAATTTTAAAAAACTTAAGAATAGTTAAAATAATAATAATGAATAATAATAAATAAATAAAATAAATAAAATAAAATAATAATAATAAATAAAAATCATCATAGTAATGATAGTAACACTAATAAAATAATAGTAATACAAATAATATTACTATTAATTAAAATTATAATAATTAAAAATAATTAAAAAAAGATATTTTACTGTTTTTTAAATAATTTAAAATATACTTAACATTTTTAAATAAAAATAATTTTAAAATAAAGGGCTCGAGAAATACGAGCAAAACGAGATTATCTTATACCGTTCAAAATCGGAGCAAAAATGAATTTTCTGTGATTTTTTAAAGTTAAATAGCTTTAAAAAATAATTTTTATATTAAAATAATCGGCGGCTACCACGTGGCGGGCTCCGACTCGCTCCCGTGGTCCGGGCAATCATTGGCGGCTTGCGCCAATCATGCCGCAATCACGGCCGTATCCACTAATCCACATAAGCATCAATCGCGGCCGTTGATTCCGCGCGGTTTGGAATCGACGGCTCTGATCGAGCCGGACGGACGCGGGATCAATCGGGAGCAGATACACGGGAGGACAGAGGCGGGATCTGACCGGATCGTGACCGTTGATCGCGAGATCGACGGTCCAGATCAAAAGGACGGCGAACCCGAACCCTAGAATAGTATTTCGACTCGTTCTCCCTTGATACTCAACCAAATGACGTGAAATTTGAAACACAGATCCTATGGGTGAAGAGCATTCATGGGGATTAAAACGTTTGGCCTAGAAAGTGCTTTTCAAAAAGCTATTTAACCCTAAGCATTGTGACCTATTCTAAGGGATTTTGAGAGATCTAACCGTCCGATTTTCGCGTTATTGGGCTCGTTGGATTCGTTAAAACGGCAGGAATATTTCTTCTGTTGACATCAAGATCCGAATCTCCTTGGATTGGGCGGTATAAGCCCCGAAAGGTTCGTGGCTTCGGTTTCGTCGGAGTTCTCGCCGCTGGCGGGCCTAGGGCGCCGAGATTTGACGTGGGAAAGGTGGAGGAGTATGAGGAGAGCTCTCACGCTAAGTTTCTCGGGACCAGAGGGGTTAGGGCAAGAGCAATCAGAAAAAGATCCTCAAAATTATCTAAATTTCACTATTTTAGCCTCTTCCTCTCTCTTGGACGGTGGAGATGAGATCTATGATCAATTTCAGAGAGAGAGGGAGTGATTTAGGCGGGTTTTGAATTTCCCAAACGTTTGGAGGCTTTAAATCCCATTAATGGCCTCTTAATTCCAATTAAATAGGAGATTTTGACCCATTTAAGACTTGGGTTGACCAAGTCAATGGCTGACCTGGTCAACCCAGTCAAAGTGGTCAAGGGGCAAGGGAATTAAGCCATGAAACAGATTTGATTTGATTTGGATTTGAATTAGGCTCTTAATGGGCTTAATGGGTCAATTTTGACCCATTAAGACTTGGGTTGACCAAGTCAAAGGTTGACTTGGTCAACTCAGTCCACCATGCTCGTGTCTAGGCAAAATCGAGGTCAACATGTGCATGATGCATTCTGCATGTTAATGCAATGTGTCACCAGGGTGCCGTGCATTTTGCATATCGGGAGATGCATTTGCATGATTCTCCTGCATATTACAAATATATATGCTATGAATGTGCCAGTGCGCATTTTAATGCATGAGAGGGGATATTTTGCAATGATCAGTTATGAAAATGACCCCTTTTGATAGGTATGCTGGTTTTTTATTTTTAAATTGGTTGACGCTTTTTATCCGCTTGTACGCATGTTGCAGATCTAGTGATATGGCATAACAATGCGTCGAATTTCATCTATCTTGCATTGACAATACAATTTAGCTCATTGCATCAGCAGGATTGTATTTCTGCCAACAGATATACTACACAACGCATGCTGAACCTTCCACAGGTGATATACAAGTGAACTGATATATTTGGCATGACAACCTAGCGTTGCAAATCTACAGCCTCAATTTATCAGTAGTTCTCAGTTTTTTTTATTGATTACCTACTGTTGCTTATAGCTGAATCGTAGCGTCATGGTCCATTTATTTCTTTATACAGGTAGACCGTCGTGCATTAACTAATCTCCTTTCAATGCTCATAGATGTTTGCATCTATTATAGTACTTTTTTGTATTTTCTTGCAGATAGTATGTTGTGCATAGAGAGAGTCTTGTAGTGGCCTATAAGTGTTTGTATTTGTTGTGGTCCTGCATTTACTATGCTCCTTCATATTTTCTTGTAAAGGACATGTTGCATGTCAATGTTCAAAGGGGGTCCATTATACCTGCAACATATCTACTTTCATCTTTTGCAGGTAAATTAACATGTTTATTTGCAAACTGATGTTAATTTCTAGGTGAGCTGCATTCGTTTTTTATTTCCCTACATATATTCATCAGTAACTTACTATGCTAATTGCATGTTGACCTTCAGTGTTCATAAATAATTACTGCACGTATCTACGAGCTAGTTGTCATTAACTGAAGGGACATCATAATATTTGTTGTATGTTCTTCATAGTCACTCATAGGCAATGATGCCTATTGCCTACTATCATCCTTGTGTGAACAATTATATGCCTTGCAGGTTCTTCATCTTCAAAGGTAGTTTGTAATATGCATGATCATCTTGACATTATTGCTTGTTAGTACTTGCATTAAGATTAGCATCATGACCTTCAACATTTGTTTTAAAGATTTTATATTAGGTATGTTGTTATGTTTTCCCATTTAATCTTTGCTCGCATGTAATTTATATTTGTGAGTTCTTTTGTATTTTCGGCAAATAGCACATTATGTACGTGACTAGTTATCTACAGTAGCTTGTGAAAGCTGTTGTATTCTTCTTTATCCTTCTAACATTATTTATGGGCAAGTCATTGTGTATATGAGGTATCCTTCAAACTCTTTACATATCGATCGTCTTCATTTCTTGGGGTTTGGTGTACTTGTTGCAGTTAAGCGACATCACCTATATGGAATCCATATTTATTTCAAACTCTTCAAAAGCTTATTGGTCGACAAATCATTATTATCATTGCACATCAAGCTCAACTATTCACAAGAGACTGATACATTTACTTGAAAATTTAATCAATGTTGATTGTAGGGATATCACAACATTCAATGCATGCTATTTGTTATCATCCATATATAGGCTATTGGGTGTTCATCTTGACTGATATTGAGGGAAAATAGGCTATCCCCTTTACAATATTCTCATTTTTCTTGCAGATGTTCTACATCCCTTGCAAGCTACTCATCATTGCTTGCAAGATTTAATATGCATGTCTGTATGTTGATATCGAATGCAGGGTGTTATTACATTCATTGTAGGTTACAAGCACTTACACCATTCATTATGGTTATATCTATTTATTTATAAGCATGACTTGAGATGAACATTGCAAGTCAACTATCATTGTTCAAAAGTTCGATGTTATGACTTGTAATCATATCACATTTTCTCCAATTTTATTATTGCTTGTAAGCAAGTTGAGTTTGCAAGTTTTTTTGTCCATCATAAGCTATTTGTTTATTCATTTGTGTTTAATTATTTGTCATTTTGTGAATTATAGATTCATTTTATGCATTTATTCAAGTCGGGTTTCCTATTGTGCAAGTTTGGTTCTCTGTTGTTTTAATAATCTACAAGTTCAGTTCCATGTATCTATTCAAGTTAAGTCCCCTATTTTGTTAAAGATTTCGACATCCTCCTAGCATCTCCCTAGTTTTGGAGAATTTCGAAGATTCTGAGCCTTTCCCACCATGCTAGATAAAAACGTGTATGATAGGTGTCAAATAACACCACAGACGTGGTCTTCAATCCCACCACGCCAAAGAAATGTGTGTGTATTGCTTTTCGGAGGTACCTATTAGAAAATATTTGTAGTTTTTGTCCACCGTCATTATGGCATGTACATGGGTACTTAGAGAAAAGCATGTACATGGTCTAGTCACCTCACCACAAGCATCACATCGGATTCACTCCCACAACACTAGAGAAAAATATGTATATATGATTTTCCGATTCGCAAGTACTGAAAACAAGATTTTTAGGCTTTCGAAGTTGAGGAGTATTATACATTGACGAAGAGATCAACGGCGGCGGAGTTATGTCTATGGAGGTGACGATGATGTAAATGCTCAGAATCTTTTATTTTTTATTTTATTTTTCTCTTCTTGTCTTTTTTTGTGATTTTTTTCTTCTGTTTACTTTTTTTACTTTAAATAATAATAATAAAAAGATAGGGATGATTTTTTTCTTCTGTTTACTTTTTTTTGGATTAGTCTTAAGATGTGGTATTAGAGTTGATGGTTTAGTTGGAATCAAGTGATTCTTGAGGTTTCTGGATTCCATGAAATTTTTTTCTTTCTACTATTGTAAGCAATCTTCATGAGTGCATTAAGTCCTGTAATGACTCCACATGATTGACTAGTTCCTTTTTGAAAGGAATTGATAATTGATATCATGTTCTGTCATGTGAAAGAAAGATTTTTAAGACATTAAGACATGAAAATATTTTGTTTAATACCATATAAGTTAGTTAAAAACTATTTGGTGCATGACAATTAGTCGTACGTTTAGGCTTTTAGTTTAAAAACAAATTTTACAAATTGTTTATATATCAGGCCAACTATAATCCCCTACTAATCAACACTTACTAATAAATTGTCAAATAATATTGCAGGTCCGTATCTACACGGCCAAAGATGTTCACCAAGAGTTGAACCTTGCAAAAAAAGAGTACATCCAAGCTAAGGTGTCCATTCAAAAGAGCAAAATAATCCTTCCCAAACTTTTATACTACTATGCCAAAGCTGCTTCTATTGAACTATCCAACCTCATAGAGATGGCATCTTGCAGCATGGATGCAGACGAACAAAAAGCAATACGACAGTGCTTCCAAAGAAATGGCCGCAAATCAGTGAAGTTGTCACCATTTACAACAGACTTTAGATTTCTTTTTCATAGGGATTTAGCAAAATAATATGGCACCAATTTTTCATTTTGTAGGTTATAGCATCCCAAACATTACAAAGATTGAATTTGGATCCAGAGTGGCACCTAACCTTTTTGTTTTGTAGATATAGAGTGGAAGGACATTCAAATTTGTTTGAGATTGGTTTATCATATTTAAGCGTTCAAAGAAACCTATGTTTCAAATTGCTCAGCATTCCATTGCTCAAATAAGATGCAAAAAAAAAAAAAAAATCAATTGGAAAATAATCAAATTGCAGACACCTTCTTCCAAAGCACTTAACAGCATAAGATGGCAAATCTATATGTTGTTAAAATCTTTGAATCATTCTATCATTGAATCATTTCTGGGTCTGCATCAAGCTGTTGATGTAGCTTAACCAGCTTGATCTGCTGTGAAAAAAGAGATTCTAGGCACTGCTGCTCTGTACAACGCCCTATAAATCATCCATCATGGCAAACATGAACACTGCAAAAGAGATTCTTCACGGTGCTTCTTTGCGCAGCACCATATAAATCAAATTATGATTTTTTTCTTTCCTCCGGACTATCATTATGCATCGATGACTAAAATTTTACTGTAGTAAACTTTCTTAGCAGATCAATACAAAAAAGTTAGAAAAAATAGAAAAGACAAGAAAGAATACGGTTTTAATCCCAGCACCAGTGCCATAATTATGGAGTACAATCCATGTTTTTAATTTTATGTCTCTGTTTCACTTCATCTTGTTTAAAATGTTGTTTCTTGTTTAATTTTATTCAATTTATTGTTTTCTATAATTTTCCACGAATGCTGAGTCGTGTTTGGTATATTATGGGTAAGCATTAATGCAAGCATTTATTTTGAGCCAACGTTCAGGCTAGGGAATTAGATATCTATGGGTGCTGCAGATTTGAGCTGGAAGTAGAAATGGAGCTGGCTGGCGTTGATGGAGGAGAGAGAGTTCTGTCATGAGGAGTAGGTTGCATGTTATACGAAGAAGTACGTCTGGAAGCTGATTGTCGGAGCTAACCTGCAAGAGAATTGAGAATATAGAAAAAGAAATGAAACAGTTGCAGAATATCAATTTCATATATCCTTTAACTGTGTCTTTCTGTGAGGTATATACATCTACTAGCCAACTTTGGTGAAAAGGAAAGAAAAACTGGTACATGCATAACAGAAAAAAGTAAAGAACGATTGAGGTAAAGGACAACGACCGCAGTAGTGAGGTAGTGGACAGAATGCTAGTATCTGATGCTCCTGCAGACTATGATAGTCCACATCATGTATGCCCATCTTCCCAAGAGCTCTCCTCGGGTGAGGACATATCAATGTTGGCTTCATACGATGGGTGATATTGGTGGATATCGATCACGTTGAAGGTTGTTGAGGTTTGAATATGGGCAGGCAGATCGATAACATAGGCGTTATCATTTATCTTATGCAGAACAGGAAAGGGCCCGTTCTTCCTCGGACTAAGTTTAGAAAAAGATCCAGGAGGAAAGTGCTCTCGGTGGACTCTAAGCATCACTAAGTCACCAAGATTGAAGACTTTGTTACGCCGATGCTCATCAGCCAACTTATTGTATTTAGAATTGGAGTCAGTTCAACTTAGAGTGGACTTCCTCTAAGATATTGTGGAATTGCTGTGCTGTTTGGTTGTTGCAATACTGCGACATTTCGGTATAATGACTACGTCGATCAGGTGATTTGGCATTTTGGTGTAAACAATACTAAATGAGCTATGTCCCGTGGACCGGTTCAGCATCAAATTGAAGGCAAACTCGGCTTGACTTAACATCTCTTCCTATCTTTTAGGGGCTGTTTGGTATCGGATTTACAGCGGGATTTAAGTCGGATTTATGCTAAATCCAGCCAAACAGTTTTTGTGCGTGCGTTAAATCCTGGGATCAGTAAATCTCGGATTTACGGATTTACAGCTTAAATCCAGGATTTAGTAAATCCGAAGGGTAGCCGGATTTAGTAAATCCGAGCGGGATTTATCCGAAGAACCGTGCGAAAGGAGAAAGTTACCTTCACAGCCAGCGAGCTCCGGTTCTTGCTTCTGATCAAAATGTCGTAACTTCCGATCCGGGTTGAAGTCGTCGCAGGAGCGAAGTCGAACAGCCACGAAGGAGCCGAAGAAGCGACGCCTGCAACCTCTACACCTCCTGCAAAAGCAACGGAGCCCAACAGCAACGACGGAAAGAGAAGATGAAAGGCAAACCCTAGACGCCTCTAAGTTATTATTGATTAACTTAATTAATATAATTTACATTATTAATACTTAAGTAAATTAATTAAATAGTTAATTGTATAATTAGTGCATAAATTAAATAAATAAATTAAAATTATTAATAATTAAATAAATTAATTAAATAATTAATTATATAATTTAACTTAATTGCATAATTAAGTAATTAAATATTAATATAATTAGATTAATTAATATAATTTAATATATATCTATTATTAAATATATAATTAATTGTGAAAATAATAATTAATAAGTAATTTGTGCTTAACATATTATTAAATTTATAACACATTATATTTTTTATTTTTAATTATAAATTTATTTTTAAGTTATAATTATATTTTTCACATTTAAATCCCTAACTGCTATAAATCTTGAAATATGTTACCAAACAGTTTCTCAGGATTTAACAGGATTTAACATTTGGCATACCAAACAATTTTCAGGATTTAACACATTTCGGATTTACTAAATCCGGATTTAAAGGATTTACTAAATCCCACTAAAATTAAATCCTACTTGTTGCCAAACAGCCCCTTAGGATGCTCTTGAACTAAGCATCGCAGCATGTTGTCGAGTTTATGGTTGACAACCTCCGTTTGATCATCCGTTTGGGGATAATAGGAAGAGCTCAGCTTGAGATTAATATGTAGACGCTTCCATAATTCATGCCAAAAATGGCTAATAAGCTTAACATCACAATCAGATGTGATACTTCCTGGAAGCCCATCCAAACATATGATTTATGTAAAGAACAGTTTGGCCACATTCATTGCATCAAATATTTTCTTACAAGGCACAAAATGCGCCATCTTTGAAAACCTGTCGATAATTGCCATAATCGAATCAACTCCATTCTTGGTTCGAGGGAGATCGAGGATGAAATCAATACTAAGATCCTCCAAAATCGAATCAGGTGTGGAAAGAGGCATGTATAAACTTGTGTTTTGCATGGTACCTGTTTTTTTTTTTTGGAAAAATTTTGGGCTTAGCCCGTATATTGAAGATAAACTAAGAGATTACAAAAAGAATACAAATGGGCAGAAATAATGCCCACCCCCGCTCAAGGAGCGCCAAGAAATCAACAGACTAAACAAAAAGAGCAGAAAAGTAAACCAGCTCCAAAAAACTATAATCTGGACTCAGATTAACAAAAAGAACTAGGCAGCCAAGCCCCTGGTTGCCCGAAAGCCATCCAAGGGGCGTTCTCATAGAAATCAAACGATGGAGCTTCATCATTGTCCAGATTACTGCTCCCAAACCCGCATAAGGTTCAAAAATGCAGCAGCACATCCGAATACAGGCCATTAATTCTCCCCAGCAGACCTTCATAATTTTTCCACCTGGACACTCTAGCATACAGGATAGACTTGATGTTGATAATCATAGAAGATAAACTGTGAATCTCACAGCCATATCTCCTGCCATTTCTCTCCTTCCATATTACATAAATAATGCAACAAACCACCAATTTGTAATAATTTTTAACCACAGATGAGCCAGGATAATCATCCACCCATTGAAGAATATGCAGCAGCGAAGGTCTCAACATAAAAAACCTTGACTCAGGGATAAAACGTTCCAGAATATGGAAAGAGAGAGGGCATTCAAAAAATAGGTGGTTCACAGATTCTTGACCATGAAAACAAAGCAAACAGTCCTCAGAAATAGAGATATTACGTAATCTCAAAGCATCCGCAGTTCTTAAACCGCCAACCAGAGCAAGCCAAGCATAAACTGAATGCTTTAAAATCTTCTTTTTGAACCAAATAAATTCAAACCAGTTGCAATCAGTCAAATCTTTATAAAAATCCTCAATGAAGTCCTTATGGTAAACTTTGCTACAATTGTTCCAGATTAGACAAGGCCCATCCACATTAGTAATAGGATTGCTGCAAATCAGATCAGCCAAATTAGAAGGAACGCTGGAAGGCAGATTCCAGTTGTGACCCAATATGAGTGAGCTTAAAAACTGAGAATTGAAGAGGTCAAGAGTGATATCACCGCCGAGCTCAATGAATGAGAGGTTGTTGCACCAATGGTCCCAGTGCAATGCAATGGGGGCATCAGGATTGATGACAAAGGAAAAATTCATTTTCACCTTAATAGCAGTAGCGCAGACGGATTTCCAAAACAGACTGGCCTTATAATGGGGAGGCTTCCATGGGGAAGAATAGTAAGTAGACAGCCATTTAGTAAGGGGCGTAGTGGAATTATACATTTTGTAAATAACAGAGCAATATAGAGCATGTTGCAAAGCACTAATCGAAGGCACCCCCAATCCTCCTTTAGAAAGAGGCCTGCAAACCTTGTCCAAGGATACCATATGGAGCTTGTGATTGCAAGAAATTTCTCCAAAAAACAGAAACCTAGAACAGTTTCTCTTAAAAAACTTGCTAACGGTTTTTGGTATGATAGAGCCCCTTATCTAGTATGCAATTGTATTTTGAATAGTAAATTTTAAATACTGCAATCTCCCCGCAAAAGAGAGAAGATTAGCCCTCCAACCTGTAAACTTTTTATACAAACTATCCATAAGAGGGAGGAAGTCTTCAACTTTGAGCTTGGTGAAGGAAATAGGGATACCAAGATAAGAGATCCTGGTAGTGATGTTGAAAATGGACAAGGCTTGACACAACATATCCCTATTTCTTTGTTTCTTAGTAAACATAATGGAGCATTTGTCAAAATTTATTTGAAGTCCAGATGCAGAGGCAAAGTCTTTAAAGACGCTAGCTAGAATATTGCAATTGTCAAGTGTACTTCCCCAATAATTAAAATATCATCAGCGTAAAGGAGGTGGGTAATATGAAAATTACTGGAATGAAAGCCTTTAAACCCTCTCTCCTCAATGAGATTAGATAAAGCATCCATTACCAAACAGAAAAGGTATGGACTAAGCGGGCATCCTTGTCTGAGCCCGACAGTGGATGGGATATAACCTTCCAAAGCACCATCTATGACGGTAGAAAAATTCACATATGAAATGCATGCTTTTATCCAGCTAATAAAAGAGTTAGGAAATCCTTTTTGCAAAAGACGAGCCAACAAGAATTCCCTAGAAACAGTATCAAAAGCTTTTTTAATATCTATTTTAGCACAGAAGATATTGCCACCCCCATGATTGTTTGCCACGTAGAGAATTTCTTTAGCAAGAAGTATACTATCCGTAGAAATACGCGATTTCACAAAACCAGCTTGGACATCTTTAACAAGAACAGGCATAATAGGGTTAAGTCTGGCAGCTAAAACCTTGGCAATAATTTTGTACAAGGTATTGCACAAAGCTATGGGACGATAATCAGAGATAGAAGAAGCATTATTGTGCTTTGGAATAATGGCAAGGGCAGTGGATTTAACACCATTATGAATGTATCCTTTAAGAAAAAAGGACCTAATACCTTTGCACACGGAGGGCCCAATGATATGCCAAGCAGTTTTGAAGAAATGATAGTTAAACCCGTCCGGCCCCGGAGCAGAGTTGGAAGAGCCTTTAAAAACCGCACTTTTTATTTCAGCATCCTAAACAGGTGCAATAAGAGAGGCAGCATAGAATTCCGGAAGAACATCCCCAATAGGAAAAAGGTTCAGATTGAAACAGGTACGGGTTGGGGGATTGAACAAAACATGAAAATGGTTGAGAATAGGGGAAATGACCTCATCCCTAGAGATGGAAGGGTTAAAGGCAAACAAATTAACAATAGATTTAGTACTGCCCATTCTGCGTCTAATTTTGGCATACAAGAATTTCAAGTCATCTTCCCCATATTGGAGCCATTTGACCTTGGCCCTTTGAATTAACCAACTAGCATGCAAAGAAGTAAAATCCGAAATTCTTACATTGATTTCTTTGAGCATACCGCAAAGAAATGCATCCAGAGGGTTAGACTTAAGGAGCCCCAAAAGATCTGTTTGCTTGCCTTGTAGAGAATCCAGTTCCTGATATATAGCTTTGGAAGAAGCCCAGCTAGCACTTTTAATGTCTCCCTTTAACTGTCTTAGCATAGAACATAAGTGAGATAATGGATATCCAGAAAACGGCTTAGAGAAAGCCTGTAAAAGCAGAGCCCAAAAGCTATCATATTTGGTCCAAAAATTCTTAAAAAGGAATCTATGATTAGATTGTGAGGTAACCCCGGAATGCAGAATAATGGGGCTGTGATCGGAGCAAGAAGGGCTCTGATAAGAGCAAAAAGCAGAAGGATATTTCAACAACCAACCCTCATTAACCAAAACCCCATCTAATTTGATGAAGATAGGGTTGTCAGTGCGTTGATTAAACCAAGTAAAATAACAGCCTACCGAGTGTAAATCAACAAGCCTGTTATTGAAAATCATGCTATTAATATCAACCAACGCAGAGTGATGCAAAGAATTACCACCAGACTTCTCAGCAGCAAAGCGGAAACAGTTAAAATCTCCCATGATAGTCCAAGGGACACTGGAGGCAGGGGCACAATTACCAACAGAAGCCCACAGTTCTTTCCTTTCCATAGCATTATTTGATGCATAAATGACAGATAATTGAAACGTAAAGGAGTTGCCAACCAGAACATTACCAGTTATCATTTGAGAAGAGAGCATGGAGGGATTGAAGTGCACCTTGCTAGCATTCCACTTAATCCAAATCCTACCGGAAGAGGAGAGTGCAAAATTGTGGTAATTTCCTTCATTAGAAAACACGGAGTGCGAAGAAGCAAAAAACGGGTCTTGAAGAGAGTTGACATGAATACGATTCTCCAGAATGCAAATCATATCAAGATTAAAGGATTTGACAAGCCTTTTACAGCTTAAAACTTTCTCGGGCTTATTGAACCCTCTCACATTCCAAACCGCAATGGCCGGAAAATACATCAGGAATATGAATGATGTTGGAATTTTTTGGCCTGCTTTCCCTTAGCAGATTTTTTTGGATTGTCAGACGATTGATGCTTCTTGTGCTTGCCAGCAAGATTGGATATATTCTCCATTGACTGATTGCCTTTAGAGCAATCCTCAGACATGTCCTAACCATTTCCTAGATGATTATCTAGAACAGTGAACCTGTTAGGCGAGGTAATACTAGAGGGAGGAGGATAATGTTGAATCTTGAACGAACTTGAGGAGGAAGATGTAGAACCTTCATTAGGAGAGTTTAAGTTAGGTATGATAGCCCCACTAACAGCAGTAACAATATTCTCCTTAGGAGGTGGAACATTGATGGTATGCTGTTTACCAGAAAGGTCATTTGGCAACGAAGAAGGCTGAGAGATGGGAGGCTTGGTTGAGTGGGAGGGGGAAGGAGGGGGAGAGTGAGCTTGGTAGAGAAGCGGCTGGCCAATACCATTAGTATGGACAACAGTGTTATTAGGAATTGGGATCCGGGCTTGGGCATTGGAAGTTTCGGCATTAAAAGCCAAGCCAGGTTTAGGAGGCCTGGATTTGGAGCGGTTAGTTGGCTTTCTACTGGAGCTCCTACCACGAGCCGCAGGATTGGAAACCGGCTTAGAGGAAGCAATATTATCATCAGCGGGGATCTGCGGACAAGAAGCAGAGAGATGAACTAATGACTTACAGTGCTCACAAGGGGTCGGTCTCCACTCGTATTGAACTTTCAATTCAACAATATCCCCATCCAGCGACACTTTAATCACCTCAGGATAGGTAGCGTTGCAATCCACCAGAACACAAATCCTTGCAAAAGTTAGACGGGTTTTGTTCTCAGTGAGAGTGTCAGCAGCAATAGGTACGCCAATTTTGCTGGAGATACGCGAAATCCCCTCCGAGTTCCAACACGCCAGCGGAAAGTCATGGATTTTAACCCAAATCGGAATCGAAGTGAAATTTTCTCTCTTTGGCTTAAATTTGGGATGCCATTTTTGTAAAACAAAAGGTTTCACAAGCAAGAACCATACTCCTTTCGACCATGCAAGATCAAAATCCTCCGTGCAAGAAAAACGAAGTAGGAAGAAGCCGTCATTTAAAGAGAGAAGTTGCAAGGAACCTTTAAGAGATCATGTTTTCTGTAAAGCACTCAGCAAGGCTTCATAATATGGCCGGCGGCCGATGGAGTAGCCGACCAAGCACAAGCTCCAGTCTTCTCCACCTTTTGCTAGTTTTTCACCGGAAAATGGAATAATCTCTGGCTCGGAAGGATGATGAGAGAAATTGAAGGTTTTTGGTGAATCTGCAACCGGCGCAAAAATCTGACTCCACTTACGAATAGACGAAGAGGCAACATCCCCAGAAGAAAGAGGCAGAGAGCCAGGAGAAGGATGAGAAGAAGTCATGCAGACAGGCCTCCGGCCTTAGCCTGAGGAGGAGGAAGAAGGTCAGGAAATAAACTCAGAAGGGCGGCGGAGAGCAAAACCCTAGCAGAGCCCTCCCCCTTTTTTTCTCTTACTCCACTGCTTAATTGCTTGCTGCGTTGTTTAACAAGTAGGTTTCTTTGCATGGTACCTGTTAACCTTAATAACATATAAAAAAATGAAATCAATGCATACTGTGAAGCCGACTGCCCATCCCGCAAATCCTGAAAAAAATCCCGTCGCCAGCTACAATGTTTCATCCTACGACTTTGCAAACGGCGTCGAATCCAGTCACCCATCACTCACACTCGTAAGTCACTTCGATTGCCGCCCGTTTGCATCCATAAAAGGAGAAGGATCGCTGCTTATTCGCCTCTCTCGCAAACTACTTCAACAATCAAACTCCTCTTCCTACAAGCTTCTGATATTCTGGAAAGCTTTACGACTACATCTCCTCGAATCAAAGCCTCCCTCAACCTGTAGCCCAACGCCGAGCTCTTCCCTGCCCAACCCTTTGGTCCACACACATACAGAGAGAGAGAGAGAGAGAGAGAGAGAGAGAGAGAGAGAGAGAGAGTTTTCCCCACCTAAGCCGCCGCCTCTCTCACGACCTCCTCTTGCCAAGACCCATTCGAGGCCTCGCCCAACACCAACGACCAAACCCCATCATGCACCTTCTTTTTCTCTTCTATAAAAACACCTCCTCCGATCCCTATATTGGATTGAAGGCGACGTCCAAGCCTTCGCCGAAGCCAAAGCCATTAATCTTCACTCAAATATCGACTCCTTTTCCTCCCATTCCCATCAACCTCCTACTCCGGATCTAATCCCGACCTCCCTATCCACCTAACCGCAAGTAGTAAGCAGAGAGAGATCCTTACCTAGCTTTTCCCACCTCCTCATCAACTCCAGCCGAAAACTCCCACTACAGTACCCGACTACTTTAGAAGATTAGGTATACACCCTATTTCATTTTGTTTCTTTTTTTAGCATTAGCTATTATTAATTAGGGAAATTTACATACATACCACTATGTTTC